ATTATATTTGAATATTGAGATTTCCCAGCTAAAAAGAAACACAGCTTTGCTAACTCACAGGGAAAATCTCAAAATTTTAAGGCGTTTTTCCTCTAAATCAGTTTTTTTTGTTGCTACAGCTCAAAAACAGTGCTTCAAAATTTTGTTTTATGATTAAATTTCAGACAGTTCATTCAAATGATACATTAATAAGGCATTTATCTATTATATTTGACAAAATGCAATTTTTGTTAACGTTTTAGTCAAAACACTATATTTGCCTATTTCTCCATATACATCTTTTGGACTTCATCCTCGTTTCGATTTGATGGGTCACATTTATACTTCACTTGACACATCTGGATTAGGTAAAGACAATAAAATGTTCTGCTGTGAAATAAATATCTTTATTATTTTCATCATGGTCATAATTAAAATTATGAACAACTGTCTCAATAGTCAAAAAATTTGCAAATAAACAGCAACCATTTGATTGCACTGCTGTGTCTCAAGACCCAACCATGCATAAAATCTCCCAATTTAAAAAAAAGAGAAAATAAAAAATATATATTAAAAAATTATGCGTACCACTGATATACAGATCTGATATAAACAGGCAAATTGGTCACAAACCAATTAGAATTATAAACATGGCTTCTTTTACAATCCACAAAGACCGAACAGGGATACAAGAGGACTCCTCTTAAAAAGAAAAAAACAAACAAACAAACAAACAAAAGGTAAAATTTATTTTACACATCTGTACATTTTATTATTTTAATGTTCTCTACAGTCAGAATGCTCTAGGCGTTTTGGGCACCATGTCCAATAAACTAGTTCTGTAGTACACGCACGCACGCACGCACGCACGCACGCACGCACGCACGCACGCACGCACGCACGCACGCACGCACGCACGCACACACACACACACACACACACACACACACACCGACACACAATCACTTATTCTTTGCGTGATAAACATATTTTATTCCTATTTTTACTTAGGATTTTTTTCTCACTTACATTATATTAAATTCCTTATTTTCCTGACTAGAAATTCTTTCTGATTGCGCATATCAAACAAACATGTCCTTCACACATGCAGGAAGTAATTTGCATCTCTTTAACATATGTTAATGAAGGCGTGTCAGGGGAGGTGTCTCACATGCGCTCAGTTCCACATTAATTGTGATGTACAAAAGAAATATGCGTGGATTCTGGCGTACGTATAATTTGATACATCTAGATTTTTTTGTGCATGAAGCCATTGTGTGGATTTGACCGTACGCCACGTTTCTGTAAGAAATCCATGCAAGTCTTTGTACGTGAGGCCCCTGGTCCTGGTCAGAGTAGGCTGCTGTGTGTGGAGAATCCAGGACTGCTTTCCACATCTTCATGGAAAATACAGGGGATTTATTCCCTTGGGGCTATAAATTTTGAATACGGTCTTGTTGTGTTTAAAATTTCTTGCTATATAAAATAATATTTCTATTAAAATTTTTGTAAATATTTTTCAAAAGTGTTAAATGGTTTTATTTTTTGTTAACTGCTTATTTGTTAGAACTGAAGCATCACTATCATTGAATCGTATCATTAATCGTAATTATCAACTCAGGCTTTTTACTCTAGTAAAAATGTAAAAGTACTGTTTGTAAAACTAAAAGTATAAAAGTAAAGGTAATACAAGTAAAAAATAAAATAAAAAAGCCATTAAGAACAAAAGCTTAGGTTGCGCCACAGGGGTCTACAGTGCACAACCACTTCCCACCAATTTTTTTTATAAAGGCAATGAGTATAATATTAAAATGTTAATTTTGAAAAATTTGGGATGCACTGACTAGACTACGTTTCAGACACATCTCTGCCATGATCATCCTCATTTTAGGCAACATATGGCTATGTCCTGCTGGAGTGTGAAGTGACTTGTGTCCTGTGATGGACTGCGTTCAATCCAATAAGATGCAAGAATGGTGTGATATATATATATATATATATATAT